GGTTACTGATATAAACTTTCAATTAGCTACTTTTGTTGGCCGGTACGACACACTGCTAAACGCATAACGAAGTCGATATTGCGCTGTTGTGGTTTGAATTTTGCAGCACTATTCCTTTGGGATTAAGTACCAGCACTTATAAAGTTTATAGGTCAGACTCAAGTTGCTGCTCTGTTCTAAGCTACTGGATATCTACACTTGTCAAATTCTGTTGTCATTTTTTGTTTACTTTTTTTTTTTTTTTTTTTTTTGCGTTACGCTCAACTTTCTGTTTGGAAATTTAAATTACAAATGAGAGAAAAAAAAATTGAAAGTACCGTCGATAAACTATTATATTGATTATTGCATAGGAGCAGTAAACTGTGCAGTACTATTCAAACAGATAGGAAGTCAGAACAAAAAAAAAAAAAAAAGCAAAAATTAACACAAACGACGAATATTTTATGTTCACTATGATCAGTGTTGATTCTAAAACATAAAATTGACTTGAAAAAAAAAAAAGAAAAAAATAAAGCTTTTTTTTTCAATCATTCTATGTTGTGGTAATGTAAAATTTTGCTGCTACTGCTGCTGCTGCTGCTGTTGCTGCCGTTGCTGCGGTTACTATTCAGCAGATTCTGTGTGGCCAATATAAAATGTTACCTGGTAAAAATTCAAAGGTTTTTTTTTTGTTGTTTCCTTCGGAATAGCGACGTATTATTTGTCTCTTTTGTTTTTTTTTTATTGAATTTTGTTTTCATTGTTGTTTAAAAAACAAAAAAAAACCTTTTGTTTTTTTTCTAGATTAATGACAGGGGAAATGATGAAATTTGTTTAATCAAACCTTTGCAATTGTTAAAATTTTACTGCTGTTTATAGTCTAGAGTATTTATTGAATGAGTTTGTTGACTCTAACCAGAACATTTCTAAGTTTACCTGACAACAGCAAATACTGTTTGAAAAGCGGGTATGAAAAAAAAAGAGAAGATTAAAGGGTCTTCATCAACTTTTTTTTTTTTTTTATTTTGTTTACCTTTTTTTTTCTAGTTTTGGTAGACAAATTTTTAGTCTATGGTTCAAAGAAAACAGTGAGCATATTGTTGATGTCTTTTGACTGTTGATTGTCTAAAGGCAATAAAACTATTAAATGTCTAGTTGAAAAGGCTGGACTTGTCTAAGGGTTTTTGAACAGATCAATTATTCATCTGCTTTCACTGATTGTTGTTGCCTTCTTTTTTTGGCTTCTTTTATCAAAAATCTATTTACTCTCCAATCAGTTGAAGACGTTTTAGTTTGCTTTTTTTTCATATCTTTCTTTTTTTTTTTTTTGTTTTCAATAAATTTTTGATAGGATAACTCTATGTTCAATTTATGATAAAAATAATTTTATTCTCATTAAAATTGTTCTATTTGTTTCTTTACTAAAACTTATTTTGCAAATTAATGGTATCGTACAACTGTTCCTTTTTTTTTGTACCAAACAACTGTTTTTTCAGTTCTTACATCCTTACAAGCTCAGATTTATTTTTTCTTTTTGAAGAAGGTAGTAATTATAAAATGTTTTAAAATTTTAACAGTTATTTAAACATTAACACCAATAATGCGGAATAATTAATACAACAGCTTTTATATCCTGGTTTAACATTTTTTTATCTGAACTGTCAAATAACATAGAATATTTTTTTTTCAAGTTTTATGAAATGATTATTGTGGTGAATAGCGATGACAAAAATTATTTGTGATAACAGTGATTTTTAGTTTATTTATTTATTCATTTTTTTTTTTACCAAGAAATAAGAATCCATTGATAAAGTGGACAGAAGAAAATCTCGGTTATTGAACTATGACCATTGTAAATGTACGTATCGACTGGCACATACGCTTTCAGTATAATATTTGTTATACAAATCGATTGTAACGTATGCAAATCAGTTTATTAAAAAAGCATTCGTTTAATAGTTTTGAAAAAATAAATATTATAATTTTTAATTTTCCTTTTTCTTCTTTTTTTTTTGCTCTTATAAATGAAATAACAAAAAAACCCTTATAAGTACTGTTCAAATAATTACTGGTCAAACTTTAAAAAACAATCAATACCTGATCAGTGTTTTACAGAGCAACTGAAGATGAGATGAGCACATAAACACAGTTAAATGAACAATATATCAATTTGTGAAGAAAAAAAAAGACAGTTTAATTTTTTTTTGGTACTTGTTTTGTTGTCAAGGAAAAATTATAGAAAATCATACATTTGTCATACATGTCGTCGTATCAATAAATCAAATCAGTGGAACTGTATTTGCGAAACGTTTTGAGTCCTATAGCTCAAAATTTTGCCGAGTATCTGATACAAAAAAAAAAAAAAAAACTGTAGTCTGAAAACAGGTAAGAAGGCATCAAAAGAAAAAATTTTTTAAAAAACTTTTCAGTGTTGACAAAACTTTGTTGTCAAAGAATGTATTTTTCGATATATTGTTAAGTATTGGCATTCGTTTTCCACCGAAAAAGCTAAACCTTGCAACAGTTTATGCTAGAATTCAATTAGCAAACTTGGCAGCTCGACCGTCTTCTTTTTCTCTTTCCAAAGCAGCTTTTACTGTACCTTACATAGTTTGTTTTATTCTTGTAGTGCCTTTTTTTTTTTTTTTTGTTCTACTTGATCATTGCTTCAATTGTTGTTATAGGAAGTTGGTTTTGTTTATTTAGGTGGTAAAGCGGCCAAAAAATTGCCCGAAAAGAAGCCGTATTTGTTGTCTTGTTTATCCTCTTGAATTAGTGTATTGTCTGACACAGCAAGAAAGAAAAAAAAAGAAAAGGATTAAACAAGAAATTTGAAACAGATGTTTTGATTGCTTTTTTTGACAGCATAAAAAAAGCTGAAAAAGGCAAGCATTCAAAAAAAAAAAAGAATTTTTTTTTTTCCTGAAAAAGACAATTTTTGGTACCGATTTTGGGGCAACATCAATCAACATTGTTCATTAATTTTTCTCTGTTGTTGTCATTGCTGATGTTGATGGTAAATAACAGCACCGGCGCTCAACACCATCGGCAGCAGTCGATTGGGTTAGTTGACAAAACAAACTAATAATTGATATAAATAATAATAACATTACTATTAATAACAAGAATAAATTCTTTATTTGAATAGACGGCAATTAATTGATTCAAATTTATGATTTTAGCAAAAGCATATCCACTTATAACAACCAACCCCCCATAGTGATAGCAAGCTTTTTGATTCTTCCTCTTTCCGCTTCTCTTCTATTTGCTCTTTCCACCATTTCACCTCGCATTTTCTACCTTCATATTCCTTCTACACCCTACCATTCCCTCATCTTGTTGCTGTTTGTTTTGCTAAGCATATGCATAATTTTTTGTTCTACAAATGAAAACCAATCAAAACAGCAACATTGATTGACAGCATTATACCTGACAGTATTATCAGTAATCTGTAAGTTGTTTTTCTCATTTTGCTAAATGACGTTGCTAACACTGCAGACCAATTTACAACGCTGTTAAGGATTAATTTGGGGAACATTTAACTTTTAGTTGTTTGGTAGCAGTATCCGTAGTTTTAATTACTAACTGTTAGATTTTCTTTTTCCAAAAAGAAAAAGCATGCAACTAATAGGCAGATTTTTTTTTTCTTTTTTAGAGCTAAAAATGGTTAGCAAATATCGATGATACGTATGCTGGCTGCCTGTTTGCTATCTGTTCGCTGTTAATAAACGCCATTGTTATCGTTGTACAAAATATCAAGCAAATTGTAGTTGTTTTTTTTTTACGTTTTTAAAACGAAAGGAAATTTTTTATTTTTGGCACCTAAGAAATAGCAACAAGTTTTTGCAATGTTATTCTGATTTACAATTTGCAATCATATGAAAATTGTGCCTTTTTTTTTGTCTTTATTAAGTATCTTCTTTTTTTTGTGTGATTTATGATAAATAGATGGATAAACAAATAGTTATACCATTAATGCATACGGGATATGTACAAATTATATAAATATTTCTATGTATCAATTGTGTGTATCTTTTTATACGTTATTTTGCCTTTCTTTTTCCTTCATTGACTTTTTTTGCTCTGCTTTTCACATATACATTTGCTGTTGAAGGCTCAGTAAAGTTGAAACAAACAAAAAAATCATCGCCACCGTCGTTTTTTTCCGCCGTTATCATCATTATTCAGCTATATAATTCTTCCACTTTCTTTATCTTAGATTAGCCTTTCTGTAAAAAAAAAAAAAA